CATCGGCGTCCGCCTGGACTGCGGCCGACAGCGAGAACTTCGGCGACTCCTTATCGAAAGCCTCACGTAATTCCTGATTAAATGCAAATTGTTTTCAAAATTTTACTGTAATATACTGTATAATAATAAAATTAATTCAATGTTAATTATTAAATGTATTAATAAAGTTTTTTCTGTAAAGTATGGTCATAACAATAGTTTTGTAAGCGCGTGCGACGGATTATAAATAAAGTAATACAGTATGTATTGAGTTGATGATTGGTTTATTGGTCAGATAGGTTAGGATAGGTAGGGGAAAGGGATATTCTACCAGATAATAGAAATTGCACCCAGTTACTGTCCTAGTTATTATTTATAAATTTACTGAAATAGAAACAATAAACTTTTATTTATTAATAATACAATCAAAATAATAATTTCAATTACTTTTGTATGGGCAAGAAGACCCGAAAGAGGAAAAAATTATATTATTTATTATCTCTCTCTCTCTCTCTCTATTTTTTATTTAAATATATATATTATTTTAAAATAAGACCAACCTGAAGGAATTTGCCAAAATTAGCCTTATCAGACTTGGGACCTTTACCACAGTCGCCACCCCAGCAAACCGGGTACTCCCAGTCGAGGTCCAGCCCGTCCCATTTATATTTATGCATATATGCGATGGTATTCTTAATGAAACCCTGTCTCCTGCCCTCATCGCTAATTAAATGCGAATAATCGGCGTCTTTGGCACCGGCACCTCCTACCGAGATAACCAGCTTAAGGTCCGGGTTTTTCTCTTTCAAGGCATTCAAGCGCCGGTAGACATCGGGCTGAGGGCCGGCGCTATCCTTTACGACATTATTCTTAGTGTCCAACTCGTGAAACGCGTGGTGAATATGCGTGCAAAGGGTTGGGTCGATGTTTTCGGGGGTGTGTCCCCCTTCGGCACCCGACTCCATGCGCCAGTTGGGCCAGTAGCATATGACCTTTTGTTTGGCCAGGCATGACAGCACCTGTAGCCCTACCACCGTTACCAGTAATAAAAGTTTCATTATTATATAATATGTGTTTTAGTGATTTATTAATGAAGTAGGAGTTTATTAGTTGTTTAAATACTAAATCTCAATTGTTTAATCAGATTATGTATGGGTAAATAGTAAGTTATAGGAGTTACCAAGGTCTACAATGTAGACTCTACATAAAAATATTTCTTAAATAATTATAGTTAGAATATTTTATTTGTTTAAAATTATTAACCTATTAATAAGTAAATATAATATAATTTTTATTATTGCTTAATAACACAAAATTTAAAAATAATTATAAAATACTTATTATATAAATAGATAAAATATTCCACAAACCTAAATCAATTTTACTCTCATATACTACCTATAGAAATCAACTAGATAAATATTGAATTTTGCTACCTTTATCAAAATTGTTTTTAATATAAAAGCACCTGCGTCAGTTGTGAAAACACTTTCTGATATGTTTAGGAAAAACATTGTTTATCTCATTATTAGTGTAGACATAGTGTGTGCGAAAATAATTGAAAGTGCTAATCAACTATGTTATAAAAATAATTGATTAAAAACGAACTATACAATATTATCAATAATAATTTAGTATATAAACAATAGGATGTAGAAGCTCTAGTTATCACACGGTGCAAAGTATCAAACAATAAAGAGTTATCCTTGGTACAATTTCTAAATATCCCTTAGAAACTACTGTTTTTAGCAAAACTGTAAACATTATTTAATCAAAAAATTTAAGTAAATTAATATAATATTAAGGTTGCTTATTGGACTAGAAACACTTGAACACCTAATATACAAAAAAATAATATTTTATTCATTTTAACAATAATTAACTCATAGTAAATATATTTAATAATAATTTTATTATATTTTGCAGCATTATAGCAAAAATTTAATTTTACATTATTTCTATGTTACCCTATTTAATGAGTTTATTAATCAAATGTTTGCATTTATTTATGTTCGCAGCCATAAGTCTCGGGTCCGCTACCGGTGCCGTACAAGCCGTGGTTAATGGCTCTCAACATGGGGTAGCTCTTAGAGCAGCACTTGGGCTGGAAATCGTCCTGGGTGATCTCCCATACGATTATACCTCCATAGCCGTTTTCTTTAACCCATGTACTTTTACTGTAATATAACAATAATATGAGATTTAAAACCTATTCAAGTGTTTAGAAAACAGACTTTGGATCGCTATAACTATAACCTAAAATAAATAATCATTGTCAATTACAAATGCAATCAATTAATAAGCTAAAGAATTCATTAAATTTTTAAAAATGCTAAAATTACTCAATTTACTAAAACTGTATTCATATTTTCTAAAAGCATTTGTAATATGTTATTGTATGTATAGCATACAAGCTGGTTCATATACTGTATGTCTCGGTATTTTTATTTTATCAAGCTAATAAAATACATACTCATAAGCGGCGTATGGATCATCATAACCGACCCAGGTTACATCGTGATAGGAAATGGGATCATGCCCTTGGTCAGGGTCCTCCTTAGCCCAGCCCTTATTCTTAACCAAATCACACATCTCTGAATACCACGCATTGTCTCCCTCTCCATGAGGTGTCTTTCCCTCACCGGCAATGGGAGCACCGATACCATGCTTATTCTTGTCCTGCAGTTTGAATGTATGTTTATTTTTAGTTTAATAAATGTTATAAATGTAACCTAGTACAGTACATGTAAAGTACAAATTAACAATTACATCCTTTTTAAAATAAAGATTA